GGTAGGGTCCACAAAACCAACTTGACCTATGAAAATTGGCAAATAATGGAGCTGGATGAAGGAGAGAGGAACTCAGAGGTAGAAGATGACAAGGGGAAAGAGACAAAAGATGGAAGCGAGAGGAGGGCCACAAATTTAAACAATAATAAAGTTGGTCGATTAATTGTGTTACCACTTGGACAGCGAAATGTCATAAACATTGAACCAGAGCAAAGAATTGAACAAGGTTTGTCTTTTACAGATATTCTAAATCTTTTTAAGAATTTAAATTATAAAATAAAAACTAAATCTTTAAAGAATTTAAATAATATCTCTTAAAAATTTGTCCACCCCTATAACACGGTATCTCTTATGAACTTGAAAACTGACCATTGTTTTACAAGAAACAAATTGAACTAAGGCGTAAAATTTCGATGGGAAAATATATTTGAAGCAAAATTTAAAAAAAAAACGACTACAAATGTTGTCAAAAGTTAGAGTGCAAGGGATTGGTTACCTTGTTGAGAATCAGACCACAGCATCAGAGTGGCCAAAAGGGCAATGGTTGCAGTCTCGACTCGCAACCGATGTGGCCCGAGTCCAACAGCTACACCGCCTGCTTCCAGCATCATGTCGAGCTCTTTTGTCGTGAAGTCTGAAACGTTAAAAGAATGTGCCAACTTTTTCAAATCCCGGGATGGTTATTCAGGCGTTAGAAGCGTAAACGTGACGATTATCCCATGGGTTATTATTGTGCAGAATAGAAGTACATAGACGAGACGAGCGTAAAACGTGAATGGATTTCCCCCGAGAAAAGCATGCTCATCATCATACCATCTTCTGTGTGTCTTTCCTCTATAACTATTGCCCATGATCTATACAAAGTAGATAAATGCATTAGAGATGTATAACAGAAACAGCCCCTTACCGCCCTCTGGTCCAACGATAAGAAGACCACTGGACTCTTCTGAAGACGAGTTTATTGCATTGAGAAGAGGTGTAGCTTCTGCCGTAGCAACCAAAGATAGCTTTGCCTGGGAAATCTGAAACACCCAAAAGTGGGAAAGGAAAAAAAACAGCAAAACCGAAATTCGTAACTCCATGTTTCGAAACCAGAATGTCTCAGCTTGATCAAACATATAGATAGATGTCGAAACATACATGATCCAAAAGAGCGTTGAATTTGATTGGAGTATTCAGCACCATTTGATGCAGCCTTTGACCTATGACAGAAATTAAAACGCGGGATAGCTTGTGAGCATGCTCCGAATAGCCATTTTGCCATGAAAAAAGGTCAAGATCTGGCGATCATTTACTTCTTTGGACTATAGTTACTTACATTGTTTAGCTGCAGCAAAACTAACACGCTCCAGTCTGTCAACACGGTTTTCAGAGATCAAAGAAGATCTTTCTGTTAAAAGTGGAGTTACACTGCTAGCCCCAAGTTCCTAGGATTGTGCAAAATGAAGATGTCAGTGGCATTATAGTTCCAAGCAACACGATGGTATGTATAGAAGCTGATACATACCGTGCATTTCTCTATGAGCCAGTCAGCTCGACCACCTTTTAAAGTGGCTGACAAGACAAAATTAGACACGTTATGGCATGAAAAGGAATGTAAAGAAGGCAATTATTGTGGCAATCCCGTTAGTTACCAAAAGCTGCGAACACATGCCACTGCATGCCCTGACGAGGAATCACCCTTTGACCTTCCAGAGCAATAAAATCAATTCCAGTTTTGTCAATGCTTTGTATGCAACCCTCTACTAAACCCCCTTTTCCATTGAAGAGTTCTACCCTTGCATAAAAAATAACTGACAGTCAGTTACTGGTTTCTCATACAACCATAACAAAAGTGAGAGAGAGTTGGCCTAATCTAGTCCAAGTATTAGTTTGGATACTGGTAATGGTATGACCAAAAGGCTTAAACTTTATAGATCATATGACAAAAAAGACAGGTACCAAGATCCTCACAGTGAAATGCAATGATTCAAAAGTTTACTAAACTAAAAAATGAAGCTAACTTCAGGCTTTCTTTGATGAAACAAAAGTTTCATTAGGAACCACACTAAATTAAGCCAAGGAACGCAGACTCAACCTCAAAATAGGTTT